TCTCGCTGATCTCCTTGAATGGTGGGATAAAGATGTAAAGAAGAGAAATGTCACGCCTCCTGCTGGCAAATTTTCCTTGCAGTTACCTTGCACCGTGGTTCAGACGCTGAACTGCAGGCTGTGGAAGGTCAGTAGTTCAGCAGTTCGAGACCCGAGTGCCGCAAGACGGAGTGAGCTCCCGTCTCTAGTTCCAGCTCCTGCCAACCTAGCAGTTCGAAAGCAAGAAATTGCAAGTAGATAAATAGGGACCACTTCGGTGGGAAGGTAACAGCGTTCCGTGCACCTTGGTGTTTAGTCATGCCGGCCACATGACCACGGAAATGTCTTCGGACAGCGCTGGCTCTTCGGCTTTGAAACGGAGATGAGCAGCGCAACCCTAAAGTCGGATTCGACTGGCTTTCAAGCAAGGGAACCTTTACCTTTACCTTACCTTGCACCGCAAAACAGCTCAGGCGGGTCCAAAATAAACAAGCGGTCTGGGACGAATTCTAATTCCATGGACAGTCTTGGGGAGGGAGAAGTAGCAGCCTTTTCTCTTCCCTCTTCAGTCTTGTCTGGTGTGTATATTGGCAATGAGGAGGGGAGGGGTTGTGCCTATTTCATCGTGTTCTGTGAGGCTGAAGCACAGAGCGATGCCTCAAGCTATCCGAGGGTCAGATCATCTCTCGCTGGCTCCGTTCCCTACCGCACGCCAGACAGCACATTACAGTGTTTGTCGATGGTTCGATTTGTTCAGTGGGCCTCTTAGCACCTCCAGCTAATTCAGTAAGCTCACGTACCATTTCTGTGCAATGAGACACAGTATCACCTGCTACTTCCACACCCCACCGCCCTGTCTCTATCCCAGCCTCTGCCTGATACACCTTCCAGCACACCTGAATTCCCCCAGACAGATTTAGACACGTACAATAAATAGCATCTTAATAAAACTAATTCAAGTACGTTAATAAGTCACTGGAAGAGGAAGGGTGGTTGATTTCACATTTCCGGCAGCCTTAATTATTTTGGGTTGAGTAGCCAGAAGCAAACGGGTGGGTGGGTAAATGATTAAAACCCGAAGTTTTGTACTGAACGTACGTTCTTTAATATTTTTTTTTAGACGTTTATATGCTATGTTTTTCAATGAAGGTAATAATAGTTGTGTGCCATCCTTTGAGTCGCAGCTGACTCATGGCGACCCAAGGACCATTGGGTTTTCAAAGCAAGAGATGAGCAGAAGTGGTTTGCCATTGCCTGCCTCTGCAAAGCAACCGCAGTCTTCCTTGGTGGGCTCCCATCCAAGTACTAACCGTGGCTGACCCCGCTTAACTTCCAAGCACTGACGATATTGGGCTATTCAAGGCTATTCAGGTTGCTTTCTCGATTATAGGAATATGAAAACATTTGTTGTTGTTCAGTCGCACAGTTGAGTCCAACTCTTCGCGACCCCAGGGACCAGATCACGCCAGGCCTTCTGGTCTTCCGCCGTCCTCTGAAGTTTGCTCAACTTCATGTTTGTTGCATCTATGACACTGTCTAACCATCTCATCCTTTGCCATCCCCGTCTTCTTTAACCTTCAATCTTTCCCAGCATCAGGGTCTTCTCCAGTGAGTTCTCCCTTCTCATTGGGTGGCCAAAGTATTTGAGCTTCAGTTTCATTATCTGGCCTTCCAGGGAACAGTCAGGGTTTGTTTTTGGCCCAGCCGCTTCACTCTTTCTGGGGTTACTTGTACTTGCCCTCTGCTCTTCCCCAGTAGCATATTGGACACCTTCCAACCTGAGGGGCTCATCTTCCGGCGTCATATCTTTTAGCCTTTTGATACTGTCCATGGGGTTTTCCTGGCAAAGATACTGGAGTGGGTTGTCATTTCCTTCTCCAGGGGATCACGCTTGGTCTGAGTTCTCTGCTGTGGCCTGTCCGTCCTGGGTGGCCCTCCACGGCATAGCCCACAGCCTCATCGAACCACACAAGCCCTCTCGCCACGATAAGGCAGTGATCCATGAGGGGGATATGAAAACATACAATACGAATAATACAAAGTCCATAAAAACTCAGAGCAATCCTAAAAAGCTCAATGGAACCAGCTAACTTAAAATGGTGATTGACCGTCTGAGCTTCTTTGAAGAAAAACAAGATAAACAAAATGCATTTCAAAGCCTGGGGACCAGAAAGAAACTCTTTTTTAAAAAATGTTTTTGCCTGCCAGTGGAATTTGTTTGTTTGCTTCATTTATCCCCTGCCTTTCTCCCTGGTGGGAACCAAAAGTGGATTACATAATTTGCCTCCCTTCCATTTTATCCTCACAACAACAACCCTGTGAGGAACGTTAGGCTGCGAGTGTATGACTCTGCAGTCCTGCAGCACCGTGACAGAAAAAGTCACATTTTTACTTGTGGGTGCAGAGCCAGAGGCTTCATATAAGGTTGCCCTTTTTGTCTTAGCAGCCAAGAAAATTCGAGGCAAGCCAGTGTCAGTATAGGCCAGTTAATTTAATTAGTATTCAACAGGTAGTTATGGGAGTTTTTCCTTTTCTTATGAAATAAGGTGGGTTTTTTGTACAATAATTTTTATTAATTATGAACAAACATCCTGTATTTACAACAAGGATCGGTGTACAGACATATTAGTGATCTTTGAAGAAAAACATAGAAAGAATTAACAATGTGAGTGAAGTAGAATGCCATATACATATATAACCGTGCACAGAAGTTACAAAACATAATTAACCAAGTGACCTATGTATCGTTACCCTAGTATTCAAAATTTAGATTTGTCGTCGTTACTGAGTTTCCATAAACGAGATGATTTACAGTATTTACCACAAGTGTAATACATCAATTTCTTTGGGAGTGTCCTCAAATTGATTTAGGTATTCTAATATAGGGAATGAAATAAGTTTTAAAAATGTAATTTTATAGTGCCTTAATCTAGTTTTACTGCACTGTATTATATTGTATTTTATGTCCTATTGCTTGTAACAGCCATTGGCCCTGTGCAAGAACACTGAACTGAACTGAGTGCATAATTGACCCAAGGTCACCCGGCAAGCTTCCATGGCAGAATGCGGATTTGAACCCGGGTCTCCCAGATCCTACTCTGGGCACTCTTAACCCCTATGCCACACTCACTTGTTAGCAACAAAGAGCCAGGCAAGGCTCAGGAGGAAGCGTACGACACAAATAGGGTCCCACCCTTGAAAAAGCCCTGTCAGTGATAGAGAGGCTGCTGAGCTAAGTATCACTTCCTCAATGAAGGAGACAGGAAGGAGCGTACAGTAAAAGGTGCTCTCTTAAAAGCCTTGTAAGTCTCTGCTGTTCTGTGAACCTCACTGTGTGATGCAGTGACCTGACATGTTTAAGGGGGGTGGGGGTGAGCTACATAATCGTCACTGAGCTCCGTGGAGGGAGGGCTGGATAAGGAATGTTAACAGGTAGGCAATCAAAACAAATTAGTAGCAAAAAGACTCCATAGACAAGAATAACTAGGGGTGTGCAAAAAAAAAACCCCAGTATTTTTCAGGTGAACTTGGAAAATATTGGTATTTCCCAATATTCTCAAATCCCAATACCAGTATGGTATTCAGATTTGGTAAACTTTTGAGATTCCTGAATTTTTTCAGCTCCATTATACCCTATGGGGACTATCATCCGGGGGTATTTGGGGCTCGGGGGTGGGGCTGTTTTTTGAGCTAGAGGCACCAAATTTGCAGCATAGCTGCTGGTGTCTCACCTCAAAAAAAAATTCTCCACGTTTCAAAAAGATTGGATTGGGGGTCCAAGTCCATGGGCACCCAAAGAAGGTGCCCCCATTCTCCATTGAAACCAGCAGAGGGGAAAAGGTGTTTAAAGGGATCACAGTCCCTTTAAATGCTTTTTCCGAGATACATGAGAGGCATTTAAAGGGACCATGATCCCTTTAAACACCTTCTGCAAGCCCTTTAGCTTTCGTTACCCAGCAGTCCTGAAAAATCCCCAAAATCTTGGGGACCAGCCATTTTGGATAGCCAAAAAATGGCCAAATCTCTACCCAGCTGAAAGACTCTCCAGAAAATGCCAATAAGGCATTTTTCAGCTCGGATTTAGCCGAACGCACACCTAGCACACCAGCAGCTGACATTGTTTTTGTCTCCTCCCTTTTAACCTCACATCAACCCTATCAGGTAGGTTAGGGATTTGTGACTGGCCCCAGGCTGTCCATTAAGCTTCCATGGCATAGAGGGATTGGAAACCTGGCCTCACAGGTCCTACCCTGATTCTCTAACCACTGCACAACGCTGCCTCTCAAATGTTGGGAAAGAGCCCTCCCAGTCAGACTACGAGATTGGAATACCTCAGAAACAGATTTCCGTTGGTTTACCAGAAATACTACTTTTGGGACTTAAAATGGAAGAAGTCAATATGACAAAAAGGACATTGATGTGGTATATGATCACGACTGCCAGAATGACATATGCTCAATGTTGGAAACAAGATAAGGTCCCTGAAATTGGGGGTTGGATTAAAAATTTACTTTTTATGGCTGAAATGGATACAATGACAAGGAAACTTAATAATTTGGAAGCAGAAGAATTTTTTGCAGACTGGAAAGACTTTCAAGACTATTTGGAGAAATACTGGGATGTAAAGGACAATTTAATTTGCTTTGAGAATTATTGAATATTAAAGGAAAGTAGAAAATAGATGAATGTATAAGAATAACAGTTGAAGGACAAGTTACCTGTTGATGTGAATAAGGAGAAAGGGAGGTAGGAAAAAATTTAAGAACGGGGCTGTAGGTTGGAGCACTGTGGGAACCCGAGAAGGGGGGGGGAGGGAGGAGGGAAGGATATATAATTGTATAAGTTTTGATATATGTTTAAACTTTTTTCATTATATCCCAATAATTTTTTTTTTTTGAGGGGGGGAAACTTGACCTACCTCTTTGGGTTGGTTGTCTTGCCCACTGTGTTTCCCCGTGACTTTGACATTTTCTCCCTCACCGCCCAGCAGTAATGGGCCTGTCTCTTCTTCTCTCTCCGAGGTGCTGCTGTTCCATGACCAGAACTATGGGATCCACTATGAATATACCATCCCTGTGAACTACTCTGCTGAAAACAGGAGTGAGCCAGAAACCTTGCAGGACTCCTTATACATTTGGACGCACAGTGGGTGGGAAGGCTGCAGTGTCCAGTGTGGAGGAGGTGAGCTCCGGGGCACTAAGAAACTTTGAAGAGATCTGTGAAATCAGGTGGCGAGGTTTAAGAGAAGATGATGGTAGTGGTAGGTTCCCCCAAGGGCACTACGGTCGGGGAGCCAGAACCTATTGGAAGTTCCAGGGCCCCGTTCTATTAGACTCAACATGACCAGGAATAGGGCGTTTTCGGTAGCAGCTCCTATCTGGTGGAATGAGCTCCCAGAGGAGATCAGGGCTCTGCAGGACCTGGCACAGTTCTGCAGGGCCTGCAAGACGGAGCTCTTCCGCCAGGCTTTTGAATAGGAGCCGCCACCACTAGTGCACTATGACCGCACTAGTACCATCGATCCCCCATATTCGGATATCAGGATGGGGCGCGCATATCCAGTCGCTGCATTGTTGGGCAAGAATGGGACGGTCAAGGATAGCCATCTTGTTTTTAGGAATTTTAGGAGATTGGAAATTTTGCTGAGAGGAGCATCAAAATCTGTTTTAATAGGGATGTAACTTAATATTTTGTATTATTTTACTGTTTTATCTGGCATTATGCCCTGTAAGCCGCCCTGAGCCTCCGGGGAGGGCGGGATAGAAATGCGAAAAATAAATAAATAAATAAATAGGTGTAAGAAAGCTGGTGTGGCATACTGAGTTCTAGACTAGGGCCTTGGGTCATCAAGTTCGAATCCCTGCTGTGCCGTGGACGCCCGTTGGATGATCCTAGGCCCATCATCATCATCCACCTCACCTATCTTGCAAGGTGATAGTTGAGAAGATAAAGAGGAAGGGGCAGGCTTCCCAAGTACTTAGCGTGATTCGGCGGGGGACTAGGGCTGCCAAGCCGCGGCGGGGGATCTACGCGTCTTCACAGGATCCCTGCTGCTGGGGACAGCGATACGCGTTGCACCGCCGTCGCCAGGATGTGACGCTACGCGTCGCCCTGGCAATGGGACTCCAAACAGCCCCGCTGCCAGAGCGACGCGTAGCGTCACATCCTGGCGACGGCGGTGCAACGCGTATCGCTGTCCCCCGCAGCAGGGATCCTGTGAAGACGCACGGATCCCCCGCCGCGGCTTGGCAGCCCTAGTCCCCCGCCAAATCACGCTAAGTACTTGGGAAGCCTGCCCCTTCCTCTTTATCTTCTCAACTATCACCTTGCAAGATAGAAGGAGAGAATAATGTGAGAAGGAACTTTGGGTCCTGATCAGGGAGAGAAGCAGGATATGAATAAAATGAAGAAGACTTAAGAAAATATTGGATTTATACCCCACCCTCCACTGCCTGAAGGAGTCTCAGAGCAGTTTATAATCCCTTCCCCCCCTCCCCACAACAGACACCCTGTGAGGTAGCTGGGGCTGAGAGAGATCTTTCGAGAACAGCTCTGAGAGAACTTGTGGCTGACCCACAGTCACCCCAGCAGCTTCTTGTGGAGGAGTGGGAAATCAAATCCAGTTCTCCTAGGTTAGAGTCCGCGCTCCTAACAGCTACACCAAACTGAACCTAGTATCTTCTATATGCAAAACATATCCTTTAGTTTTGATTTATGTATTTGGAAAATCTATGTGCTGCCTCTTCGGAGGTAGTTCACAAAGTATAAACAATGGAGTCCAACAAAACCATAACAACCCAAGAAGTATCACCATTAAAACAAGCCGGAGAACATCAATACGGGGACATTACGACAGTGTAAGTTGACACCCAGCAGCTTAAACTGATATCCAAAAAAACCCCCAGTCCTCCAGCTAGAAGGCAATCATGAAAACAAGCTAATATGAAGGTTGCTATATTCAAACACTCTTGCCAACCTAGCAGTTTGAAAGCAAGAAATTGCAAGTAGATAAATAGGGACCACTTTGGTGGGAAGGGAACAGCGTTCCGTGCACCTTGGTGTTTAGTCATGCCGGCCACATGACCACGGGAACGTCTTCGGACAGCGCTGGCTCTTCGGCTTTGAAACGGAGATAAGCACCGCAACCCTAGAGTCAGACTCGACTGGCTTTCGAGCAAGGGAACCTTTACCTTTACCTTTTTATATTCAAACAATGGTTGCCCAGCGCCTCTGTATATACAGAGGTCCAGATCCTGAAGATCTGTGTCATTATCTGCAGGCCTGTCCACTTTATTCAGCTCCAAGGAAGAAATTTTTAGGTACAATTGAGGCCAATTTAGGCCTTAGCACTGTGATGGAATAAGTCATATTTTTACTTGCAGGTGTGGAATGAGAAGTCTCATACAGGGTTGCCCTTTTTGCCCTAGCGGCAAAGAAAATTTGGGCCAAGCTAGCATCAGCATAGGTTGGTTGCTTATGGGAATCATTCCTTTCTCACACGAAACAAGTTTTAAAATGTAATTTTTTTGGTATTTTAACGCAGTCTCACTGTACCGTATTTTATTGTATACACTGGCCCTATGCAATAAAATCGAACCGGACTGAACAAGGTAATAAAGAGGGAATCCCTCACCTGAAAGTCTAAGTATAAAAGAACTGTTTTGGCCTGGCACCTGAAGGGTAGTGAAGTAGTTGCCATGTGGGCCTCGAAGGATAAGATGCCACTGCTGAGGAAGCCTGGACACACACGACCCAATCAGGTAAACAAGTATAAAGCCAACAGTCGTGATAGTCTGACCCACAATCAAACAGTCATAAGACTTATAAAGAATGCTGTTTATGTATTGCAATCTAAAGCACTACAACATGATACACAAATCAATAGAAAATCCTTGAACCAAGGTACATAATCAACGTCGTCTCCGGATTACATAACGTTTCAAAAAATGGATCTTCTTCAGGAGATATTATAGTGGTGCCAAAGCTCTCAGTTTCATAAAAAAATTTTTTTAATAAAGTATTTTATTTTGATTTTTTACATAATTAACAGTACAAGACACTTATATTGATTTTACAATATTATTTGGAGCATCCTATCTATATATTTCTAACCACCTGTCTAGTTTCTGCCATCTTTTTCCCGCAAGTAACGTATTAATTTTGTCCATTTCTTTTATGTCCATAATTTTTGTAATTAATTCTTCTCTATCTGGCAATTTTTCAGTTTTCCAGCATCTTGCTATAGCTATTCTCGCGGTTGGGAGGATGTAGAGTATCAAACGTGCGTCATTATGCTTTATACTTTCAGGGAGCATGTTTAATAAGTATACTTCTGGGTTCAATGGTAAATTTATCTCTACTATTTCCAGAATGAGTTGTTTTGTTTTTTCCCAAAATTTTTCCACTTTTTCACATCTCCACCAGATATGTTAGACAACAAGTCTTCAGAATATTAAGTTCAGATAGGACGCTGATCTCAATTAACATTCAGGCTCAAAATATGCTGCTGTGTTTCTACTATGTTAATTGTATCATGTTGTAGTGCTTTAGATTGCAGTACATAAACAGCATTCTTTATAAGTCTTATGACTGTTTGATTGTGGGTCAGACTATCATGACTGTTGGCTTTATACTTGTTTAACTGCTGAGGAAGCCCCGTCTCTGGTTGTCATGCATCTTCACGTGTGTAGGCAGTAGAACAGAAACAGGGCTTGGGAAGAGGGTCTTAACAGATGGGCTGACTGGGATAGTACAGGCTGAGGTGGCTCTCCAAGTACCCCAGTACCGAAGCCAGTTAAGACCTGAAAGAAAAGAATGGGCACTTTGAATGATGCCCAAACTGGCAGCCAGTGCAGGTCTTTCCACTGCAATACTACCCCTGTATCCATCCCCTGACAGTGGGTGAGCCACCATATTTGGACCAGTTGAAGGTTCTGAACAGTCTCCAGCGGTAGCCCCATGCAAAATGTGTTATAGTAATCTAACCTGGGTTCATTCAGAGTGTGGATCGCCATAGCCCCATGACACTAACCTGCGGTGAAGAATCCCAGAACTGAAGACCAAGAGGTCGTCCAGTGAAGACCATAGGTATTGTTAGAGAAGGTTTGGTTGATGGAGGATTGGGGAAACCGGTCCTGATGATAGAACCTGCTCCTGTGTCCGAACCCCATTCCCATTCCAAAATAGCACAGGGGGCTGATTCTATGCAACCAGTATTTAGTGCACTTGCAAGCCAGTTCGGTGAAGTGGTTAAGAGTGCGGACTCTAATCTGGGAGAACTGGGTTTGATTCCCCACTCCTCCACATGCAGCTGCTGGTGTGACCTTGGGTCAGTCACAAGTTCTCTCAGAGCTGTTCTCTCAAGAGCAGTCCTCAAAAGAGCTATCTCTACTCCACCTACCTCAAAGGGTATCTGTTGTGGGGAGGGAAGGGAAAAGAGATTGTAAGCCACTCCGAGTGAAGGGCGGACTATAAATCCCATCTCCTCCTCCTCCTTCTTCTCTTCCTCTTCCTCCTCGGGACAAATAAAGCCCTGATCTGACTTGCTACAATAGTTGTGTTTTGTTTGAGCCTTACTGCTCAGAATTTATTCTCTGTTCAGATAGTTTGCAGAACAGGCCTCTGCTAAAGCCAGTTGGAATTCAACAGACATTTAATATCCCTTACTGATGCTTCCATTCCTTAAGGATGGGTTGTTGCTTTAAACCATTTTGATAAACAGTGCAGTGATATTTATTTCCTTAAATCAATAATGCAGTAATATTTTAACGAATAGACAAGCACCGAGATGATTCCTTCCCGCCTTCGTTTTGCTTTCAGGAGAACGCAAGACCATTGTGTCCTGTACCCGGATTGTCAACAAGACCATGGTGTTGGTAAATGATAGTGCCTGTCAGCGGGTTATCCGTCCAGATCCTCAGGTTAGAAGATGTAACGTCCATCCCTGCCAATCAAGGTATGGGCCTAGTTACAGCCATTCATAAATCTTTCTGTCCAAGATCCTTTCGTAAACTTGAATTAGCCTTGAATCTCTCGTGTGGTATTTACGGGAATATCTGGTCATACTATGGAACAGAAAGCAGGTAGGGTTGCCAAGTGTCTTACCTGGCGCAGCGGGGGAGAGTTGGTCCCAGCCTCGGACATTTGTGTGCATGCGTAGTGCATACGCACCGCGATGACATCGCCCGAAAGTGACGTCATCGCCCCGGGCACGTCAGCCCGACCTGGGCACTTTGGGGGTGGGGTTCCCCCTGCCGGCCGGATCCAGACTGGCGGGTTGGGGACTTGGCAGCCCTAAAAGCAGGGGAGAGGCATTTGTGATGTAAAAGAGCACTCAAGCTAATGCATGTTTCATTGCTCATGTTACAAACGGTGGAAGCCAAAACGTCGTTGTGCCTCATGTTGCATCTCTCTTGGAGCAGCATCCAGAATAAACACTTATGCCAATTATGTTGGAAAGCTTGTGTAGACACTTGGCCTAGTTCTTATGGAAGATGAGGCTGGGGGGTAACATTTCCATTCAGGTCTTGTATGTGTTAATGCGACTCTTTAAAAAAAAAAACACACACATATCCCCGCATTTTGAAAACAAATACACACCACTTCTTCCTTAGATGCCAGTTTTCTATGTGGAAGGAAGTTTTTCTTCAGGAGGCACATTCACACAGGCTGGAAACCCTTTTGTGAATTTTCTGAAGTAGTCCGTCACAGAGACAGGGACGCCACCTGTGTGTGAACGAGAGAGGTGTTTTTCGTGGCTGCCCCCCAGTTATATAACCACCCCACACACAAAAAATCTCCAAGAGACTCACTAAAGTCCAAATATCTTTCAGATGGTGAAGAGGCTCAATTTAATGGGCTGGCTTGGCTGGTGCTGGGGAAATGGAGTTGTGTTTTGGCTGGTGCTGCTTCCGTCTTGCTGTTTGTTTGTTTGTGTGTGTGTGTGTGCATTTGTTTGGGAAAGGGTGTATGCTGCCTTTCCAGAGAACCTGTTTGAGATGGCTTACAGCATGATAAAATCATAATAATATAATAATAATATCTTTCGATTTATTAATCGCTCATTCCTTCAGAGCTGCTGGGTCTGAGTGATTTACAGTTACACATATTCACACGGGACTAACAATGATTCATAGGGGTAAAGGAGGACAACATATAAATCTTTTAAGTCGCACAGGTTTGCAGCCGACGGGGATTTTGTTCAGCTGTAGACTTAGACGTGTTCCAGACGGCATTCACTCGGCTTGGCTTGATGACGTCAGCTTTTTCCAGGACTGCTTCAAGTAGCAGCGCCGCACTGCCACCGCCTGGCCGGATCGGCGCATCGCAGGCTTCTTGATGCCGAGGAGATCTTTCCAGGCTTCTGAGCTTCCGAGCTGGACGTTCCATTTCGCCAGCTAACACCTTCTCCCACAAGGGGGGTTTAGTGTGCCCACCCTCTCTAAGGAGTGGTACCCATTTTGTCTACTCACCGAACCTTTCGAACCGCTGGGTGGACAGCAGTCCACTCATAAAATGTGAAAAGCATTAAAAACATGAAAAGCATTAAAAACCTAGCCATAGCATATTTATTTATTTTTCATATTTGTAGCCCACCTTTCCCGCAAGTGGGCTCAGGGCAGGTGACAACAAAATAGCAATACAATAAATACAATTTTAAAATATTAAAACACAATAGTAATATTAAAATTGGTGGTCACAGCACATGGATACATTTATTTATTTATTTAATCAATGAATTAGGTTTATTCCCCGCCCTCCCCGCCGAGACAGGCTCAGTGCGGCTTACATAAAATTTCTCATATATATACAATTAAAACCCGTAACATAAAATAACATAACATATAGCCAGCTATTGTGGGATGGGAGACCGACATCTCAGGGAGGCCATATATGGATGGCGGCCACCTCAGCCGAAGGCCTGGTGGAACAGCTCTGTCTTACGGGCCCTGTGGAATTGAAGGAGATCCTGCAGGGTCCTGATATCAATGGGGAGCATGTTCCACCAGGCGGGGGCCAGGACAGAGAAAGCCCAGGCCCTGGCTGAGGCAAGACGGACCTCTTTCGGGCTAGGAACCACCAGGAGATGTTGATCCATAGAGAGTAATGCTCTCCAGAGCATATATGGGAGAAGGCAGTCCCTCAGATATGTTGGTCCCAGGACGTGTAAGGCTTAGAAGGTTATTACAAGGGGTCATTTCCTGCAGGAGCGCACAGAAGCGGAGCTCCGGCAGTAAAGAGCCCAGGGGGCGGGCACATGCAACAAGCCCCACCCCCTGCTCCCAGCAGCCCTCAGTCAGAGCAAGCAGCAGCCTGGTAAGCTGCAGAGCCCTCCCCCCCAGGTCCAAAACAGTCCAGTGGCACCTTTAAGACCAAGTTTTATTCAGGTACAAGCTCTCCCTCCTCTGCGAGGACAGATCTGCACGTACCCCCCCCCCCAAAAAAAATTGCTAGCAATCCAAAAAAGTCCAGTGGAGACCGAGCGGTGGATGTTGCCTTCTGACACACTTCCGGTGATGTCAGGGGGTGTGGAATATGCAAATAAGTTATGCTAATGAGCTCCTGCACCTCTTTTTCTACGAAATGACCCCTGGTTATTACCAACACCTTGAAGCAAATCCGGAACTCAACTGGCAACCAATACAGTTGGCGGAGCACCTGCCGAACATGTGCCCACACAGGCATTACCTGTATAAAAGCAGCATGAAACAACGTTGCTATGTTTTATTTTAGCTGCTTGGTTGGTATGAAGAGGTTGCATGCCTTCTTTTCCCCTACCTGTCTTCCTCCAAGCCTTTCAGCAGTTTGTTATGGCTAGGGCTCCCAGTTACTGCCTACACCAATGCTGTGAGATTTTCAAGGGTTGCCTGAGGAGAGTGGAGTTTGAGGGAGATGTGGTGTCACTCCTGGGCGATGCTCTAGGAATTTCCCCTCATCTCTGTGGTAAATCCCATAGAGATTAGGGGACATACCTCGAGCATCTCTGTGGAGGCTGTTTTTCCTCCTGCTCTTCAATTTCTCAAGGGCAGGAGATTGGACCTAGGCAACAGGGAAGCCTAATTGTGGCAGTGTGGACTGTGATGCACAAATGGAAAAAAAAATCCAAAAGGATCTCTGACGGAGGACGAGAGAGCTTGGTCTTTTGGAAGGAGTTCCAAAAGGGAAAGCTCACATCAAAAAGAGTTGTTCCCTCAAAACATGTTTGGACCATTTTTTTGAAAATAAGCATAGATTAAAAAAAAAAAAAATAGCACACCTTCCTTAGTTTTCCAGAGGGATTGTCACAGCGACCTTGTTTCTTGGCTGTGTGGATGCAAGGCTGCTTGTAAATATGATATTTTGATACCTTGGGAAACTGCCCGTCCGGTTTCTCCATGCACGTACCCAGCCCCCCCACACACACACACTTTGAACTTTGACATAGATTGCAAGCAGTTTGAGGACTGAAGCTGAGGGATGGTTCTGACCCAACCCGGTTCCACTGAGCAGGGGAAATCTGAATTGCCAGCTTCGTGGCCTGAAGTCTTTCCCCTTCGTGCGGTTTCAGTACTTCTGCTTCTGGTGTGGAATTACGGAGCAAACGTTACAGTCACAATAAAGGGCCATTATCCTCCATCGGACAAGCCGAGAGTGGCCCACTCACTGGTTCGTTTTGACGACCCCCCCCGCTCCATGGCAACAAACAGCCACACAGTGCTTCGCCTCCAAGATGGCCACGCCTCCCTCTCTCCTAACCTTTGCTCTCTCCAGGTCGACCACACATTCACACTTCAGACGTTGCCAACTGGAAACGTTTTCCAAAGCACATTCTCTGCGTCTCCGTAGAATTTAAATTTCCACTTCTGTTTGCCCACCCAGATATTAGAAATGCATGCTTGGCATCGTCGCTGGCCGAGAACATCTTAAAGAGCCCCTTCTCTTTCACCGTGACTATGGTTTATTTTTTTAAAAGAACAAGCTCTGGGCTTGCCTTCAGAGTTCGAGTAGAATTTTTGAAGCGCCGTTACAGTAACGTCTCCCGTTTTTCCACATCAACTCCAGCCTCTGGTTATATGTGATTTTGAGAGACAGCTACCCTTTTAAACTTCCTGTCAATTCCCCTTTATTTCTTCTTGTCTACTGGCCCATGGGCAGCTCGACTCTCCTCAGACCGAGCACTGGAGGCATTAGACCGTCAGAGGACTATTGGCAGGGTTCTAAGAGTACGCTGACTGCTGTGCTTTGGTATCGCGCCCCCCCCCCCGTTACCCTTCCATATTATTTTCATCAGCTGACCCCCCAGATATCGAAGAGCTTTCCTTTTGGTCAGGCTAAATGCCTTTCCCTCTGCTGTTTAGGTGGGTATATTTCAAGGAGTATCCTACTCAGCAGGGGTCGTTTCGTAGCAAAAGAGCATATGCCACATCCCCTGACATCACCGGAAGTGTGCCATAAGGCCACACCCACCACTCAGTTAGTCTTAGTCTTAAATGTTAGTCTTAAAGGTGCTATTTGTTAGTCTTAAAGGTGCTATTTGAACTCTTGGACTATTTTGCAGCAACAGACTAACACAGCTACCTCGGGGGAGCTCCTGGATGGGGCTGGGAGTCCTTGCGGAGGCCACGTGGAGTGGCCTCGGCCAGGCAGAGGGGGAGGACGCCAACTTACCCTCCTGCTTCTTCCTCCTTCTGCAACAGAATGAGGCTGGAAGCAGGGGGCGGCCGGAAGAAGGGGGAGGGGCTTCGTCATTGCCACGCCCCCCTGCACCTCACCCGGGGGGACTGCGATCCCCCGCGATCCCCCCCCCCGAATCGACCTCTGCTACTCAGAGAGATTATGTGCATCGGGGTCTGGAGGGATTGAAACTTTATCCTATATTTTCTTTGATTGTTTGTTGACTGTCCCTTTGAGAGATCTGTGGATACAGCCGGTGATCGTTTCCAAGGTTTCCCTTGTTTCGGTGTATTCCCTGCTAGT